TCAAAGACAATACATACCTCACGAAGATCTTTCACAAGTTCACGCTGCAAATTTTGCAATCTAGTCTCATTTAGGATTTGATCCTGTGAAGCCCCATCTTTAACTCTTTTCACACCTCCTCTGGTATCATAGATATGACACAGCCTAACAAGCAACTTCAAATAGCAATCAATTGCATAAGTTCGGCCATCACAATCCCATTTGACACAAGGCTTACAAACTTCCACCACTTCCAAAGCTGGCTCTGTCCAGTTCAAAGCTCCATAACCAGTTCCATATGCCAAGGCTCCAATCACTCTGCTTTCCATGCCCGAGTTCTTTTGTTCTGGCAATGGCAGAGACAACTGGAAGCAACTTTCTACCAGTGATGCCACAAGCTCTTCCCTGAATAAGCTTCTACTCATTACACTATTAAGATCATCCCTTATCCTTACATCCTCAAAAAGAGAAGCAATATCAGTTCCTGCAAGAGGCTTCTGCCCTCTTCGGACACTCTCTTTTGCAAAAAGGTCAACACAAAGAGCTGTCCGACAGATACAGGCTAATGCATGCATACGGTCTGATTCAGCTCTCAAGTTTCTCACCATAAGAAGCAACCTCTTAAATAATGAAACCTTCAAGCACAAAGTTCACTATATCAGAGCAAGTCTACACCTATACAATCAACATTAGTTATGGCGATAACCAGCTACCATTACAACACTCATGAATGTCTAAAATTTCTCACTTCTTTATAACCAGTGGCCATTACAAAAGATAAGGGCAATGATTTCACATTCACAGCCTATTGAGGAGAACTAAAAACATTAAAACATTACTTAATGAATCTGTCAGAGGTCAGAGACAATTTAACACTCTTTTAACTCAAATTAGCCATATTTCTTCAAAAGCAGACAATCTTGAATTTCTCTTTCTCTATTAATAATTTGCCTTATATCAAACAATGAATAGCATCAACAATTAAATGAAAAAACTAAGCTAGCAATAGAATGTGAACCTGCATATGAAGATCAAGTAGATGTATATTGGTAACAACAGCTCTAACAATACTCTCTCTGGCAGACGAAAACTCCTGCCTGTCCCAAAGTGTCAAAATGGCAGTAATCGACTGTGAAGCCCACTCTGGTTTCCCTCCAGGCACATCAGCCAAATACAACATATTAATGCCCACTTCAAAAATCAACGCTGGATCCAACGACGATGCCAAGAACGGCATCAAGTGCGTCACCAAATCAGACACTCCAACAAGCTTCTCCGCATTGGACTCCGCTTGAGTACCATTGGTTAAACTAGAATCCTTTGACAATCTTCTAATCACGTCCAGCTTCCCAGAAGCAAAAGCTTTCACACCGTAAACAAGTGGAAATACAGTTGCCCTGAAACTCTCCACTGGTAAAACTAAAGATCGAGCCATTAAAGCGTTTCGTTTCTTCCACACAAGATTCACCATTGCAGACACCCAATTAGAACGAATTGCAAGTGAATTTTCACTATCTACGAGCTTATCTCCAGCTAATCTACTCATTCGCTTCGACTCGAATTCTTGAAACAGTCTACCAACTGATTCAAAAGCGACCTTCGAAACATTGTCGGATTTGTCAAGCATGTTTTGACCAATACGCGTCCACCAGATGGTAACCTTGTCTAAGAGATTAACATTATTTTCACACAGTGTAACCAAATCATCACGTGCCAGAATACAGCCTAGAGTTTCGGTTATCGAGTGGCGGAGATTATCAGACGGCGAATCGAAACATCCGGAGATCTCGGCATTCGAATCTGAGATAAGTTTGGAGAGAGCATAGGACGGAATAGCGGCGAGAATCGAGATAGCGGCGGCGGTGACATCGGGATCGGGGAAGTGGAAATCGGAGCGAATTCCAGAGCACACAGAGTCCCAGAGATCGGCGGTTAAACGCGTAGAACGAATCAAATCAAAAGCAAGTTTTTTACAAACGGCGGAGGCGGGAGCGGCAACAATTTCTTCGACGGCGGTTTTGGCAATGACAGAAATGTCACGTCCGGCGGCGGATTGTTGAAGGGCTTGGAGGAGAGCGCCGGATTGGCGGAGGGCGTCGTTGGAGCGGAGGTCCGCTTGGATCTGAGCAAAGAGGATATCCATTTAGTGGTGTGGAAAGAAGTAGAATTGAAGATCCAAGCTCGATGGTGAAGTAGTTGAATTTGTGCTAAAATTTGAACATGTAAAATTTAATTGATTTCCCTCTGGTGAAGTAACACAGATACACAGAGATCATGATTCATGACTAGACGAGTTAGGCGTTGGTGAGCTCTTGGTTTTGCTCTTCTTACTTGGACTCGAGGTCGAGAAGATCGATTGGTTGCTGGTGATGGGCTTGATGGTCTAAGTATTATTTGGGCCGTCACTAAGCCATTTTAATATAGTAATGTTGGGACTTGGGATACCTGGTACTGTACTGGCAGTGTTTATATAAATTGTGCAGTGGAAAAAGTAAGTTTCAAATTAAGAAAGAAGTGAATAAATAAATAAAATTTAAAATTGAGAGAAAAATAAACAAAAACCTTAATTAAGTTTAAAAATTGTGAAAAATAATACAAACAAAAAATCAAATTATACTTAATCAAACAGGGTTATTTTCGGTATTAAATAAGGTTTAAAAAGTTTTTTAGTACATTAAATATCTACTTAGTCCAACATTTCTCAAATCTGTCACTTTAACCCATTTCTCTTTTCTTTTGTAGCTTAACCTTTGATTGTGTATTTGTGTTATCGTCATACATCAATTTGTTTGTTTTTCACGTCTTTAAAAGATTAAAATGGTTTGTAGTAATGGTAAAAGAGCAAAATGAGATTTCACTTGATAATAAAAGAGCAAAAAAAGATTTCACTTGATAGTAAAAGAGTAAAAAAAAAAGTTTTATGAACTCTTGAGTGCAAGTCTCTATAAGCTTTAATAGGGGTGCTCATTGGTCACTGAGGGGTTTACTTGGTCATCAACTTCAAGACTCTAGGAAATTAGTTGAGATGCACACAAATTGGTCCGGACATTGTGGTTACCAAAAATAATATAAAATGGTTTGCATTATTATAGGGTAATTTTCTATAATTAAAATTTGAAGCTAAAGGACTTTGTTTCATACTATGAAATTTATAGAAGGTAGGTTTGCGGTTGTGAAAGGTCTTCGAAAGTAAATTTAAACCAATCCTTAGATCGATGTATAAGCTGTTCTGGTAAATGGAGCTGTGGCCGACGAAGCTCAGTGATAGTGGAAGAAATAATTGTGATCGATGAACTGAAGAAATTTGGGTGTGCTAACTTTTGATATATATACGAAATCATACTTACGAGAGTCAAGACCTCCTTTAGATATATCATGATTGTCTCTTTTTTCAATAATATCTTATACATAATACCTTCAACTATGATTTCAGCCTGATGCTCTTACTGATTTTTCTCCTACTCAATGAACTTCGCTATTCATCAATCAGTCTCCTGGCTCTCCTCGGCCATGCCTCCAGATGATCTAGTTCAAATTATAATGGCACCAGAAGAATCCTACTTCATTGTGTAATTTGTTTGAATTTTGCAATAGAGACGGCTTTACATTAGGAGATGCAGCTATAACAACATTATAATATTTCTGGGTTTGCCGAAGCTGGAAATCCAAAAGTTTTTACTTGTTGATATGCTATTGGTACAGTAGCAGGCTTTTGTTCACCATTGTTGTTGGAGAAAAATGTTTTTGAAGAATGCAAGAACAGATTCAGTTCTTAGTACATGCTATAATTATATTGGATAATTTTTAAAAGGGAGGGAGGATAAAATTATTGGAAGTACAATTAATTCTGAATGTTTAGAGTAGAAATAATTGTCATGAGATATTTCACCAACTTCTTTGTTGGGATATCTGTCATTACAGCCTTGATGAAGTCCCTGGTGGAACAGCAACTTTTCTCAGCTCTTTTCTCAATATTTTGCCAGCTGCACTCTTGGGTATGGAATTGATAAACGCTACACGCCTTATTTTCTTGTAAGGTGCAACCTGAAATTACCAACAAAAAAGGAACAAACCTATTTTTTCATGACATGTTTCTCATACATCAACATTATAAATGCTTACGTTTATATAATATAATATTGCTTCGATCCATGTCATGTCATTCTACTTATCTGAAGTTTGATCTAATTACAAGAAACTAAACCCGGCCATTTTGAGATAAAGGTAGACTGCAAACATTTTTGAGGCAGATATGATTCTCAAGACTTTCAAAAGAGACATGAACAAAATCAAGTAAGTGTCATATAAAAATATGACAGGAAATTAAGCACCTGTTTTGCCACAAAATCCATTATTTCTGCTTCGTTAAGGGTGCTTTGGGGCTGTCTTACCACAAAAGCCATCGGTACTTGACCAGCCTCNGGGTAATTTTCTATAATTAAAATTTGAAGCTAAAGGACTTTGTTTCATACTATGAAATTTATAGAAGGTAGGTTTGCGGTTGTGAAAGGTCTTCGAAAGTAAATTTAAACCAATCCTTAGATCGATGTATAAGCTGTTCTGGTAAATGGAGCTGTGGCCGACGAAGCTCAGTGATAGTGGAAGAAATAATTGTGATCGATGAACTGAAGAAATTTGGGTGTGTTAACTTTTGATATATATACGAAATCATACTTACGAGAGTTGAGACCTCCTTTTTATATATCATGATTGTCTGTTTTTCAATAATATCTTATACATAATACCTTCAACTATGATTTCAGCCAGATGCTCTTACTGATTTTTCTCCTACTCAATGAACTTCGCTATTCATCAATCAGTCTGCTGGCTCTCCTCGGCCATGCCTCCAGATGATCTAGTTCAAATTATAATGGCACCAGAAGAATCCTACTTCATTGTGTAATTTGTTTGAATTTTGCAATAGAGACGGCTTTACATTAGGAGATGCAGCTATAACAACATTATAATATTTCTGGGTTTGCCGAAGCTGGAAATCCAAAAGTTTTTACTTGTTGATATGCTATTGGTACAGTAGCAGGCTTTTGTTCACCATTGTTGTTGGAGAAAAATGTTTTTGAAGAATGCAAGAACAGATTCAGTTCTTACTACATGCTATAATTACATTGGATAATTTTTAAAAGGGAGGGAGGATAAAATTATTGGAAGTACAATTAATTTTGAATGTTTAGAGTAGAAATAATTGTCATGAGATATTTCACCAACTTCTTTGTTGGGATATCTGTCATTACAGCCTTGATGAAGTCCCTGGTGGAACAGCAACTTTTCTCAGCTCTTTTCTCAATATTTTGCCAGCTGCACTCTTGGGTATGGAATTGATAAACGCTACACGCCTTATTTTCCTGTAAGGTGCAACCTGAAATTACCAACAAAAAAGGAACAAACCTGTTTTTTCATGACATTTTTCTCATACATCAACATTATAAATGCTTACGTTTATATAATATAATATTGCTTCGATCCATGCCATGTCATTCTACTCATCTGAAGTTTGATCTAATTACAAGAAACTAAACCCGACCATTTTGAGATAAAGGTAGACTGCAAACATTTTTGAGGCAGATATGATTCCGAAGACTTTCAAAAGAGACATGAACAAAATCAAAGCTTTGAGATGAAAATCAAGCAAGTGTCGTATAAAAATATGACAGGAAATTAAGCACCTGTTTTGCCACAAAATCCATTATTTCTGCTTCGTTAAGGGTGCTTTGGGGCTGTCTTACCACAAAAGCCATCGGTACTTGACCAGCTTCTTTATCTGGATATCTGTCATTACATTTAAATTTCAGCATAGATGATAGAAAAAGTTGAATAACAACAATTTCTAAATAAAACAGAGGCCACATTTCGTTTACCCTATTACTGCAGCATCAACTATCTGTGGGTGAGAAATAAGCAATTGTTCTAGTTCTGCTGGAGCCACCTGCAGGTAATAGCAATGCATACATGACTCCAAATATGTAGCCAGTCATCAACAAGATAATGAAGATTGAAGAGTTAAATTAATGAGACCTTAATTGGACCCATCTTGATTGATCACTACCTGATATCCCCTGTATTTTATTAGCTCCTTGAGTCTATCCACAACAAAAAGGAAACCATCCTCATTAATGTAGCATATATCACCCGTCCTCAACCACCCATCAGATAACAAAGTAGCAGAAGTTGATTCCTCCTCCCCAACGTAACCTGCAAAAATTCTTAGATACTATTTGATACACAAATATGCAAATTAATTAACCTCTTGCAAGGTTTTAAATATATACCTTTCATTACCGAGGGTCCTTTAACCCAAAGTTCTCCTTCTTTGCAAGGAGGCAAGGCTTCACCTGTTTCAGGATCCACAATTTTTCCTTCAAAACTTCCCGAAAGCCTGCCCGTTGAGCCCCATAGCTTTGCTTCTTCTGGACCTTTTGTCAAAAAAATCGCTCCAGCCGTTTCAGTCAATCCGTAACCCTTTGTATCAAGAAGCCAACACAAATCAAACTTTCTATTTGTCAATATCTTGTCCAAAATGAAAATTTTAAAAGCTGATTTTATTAATAAAAGAAAAAATTAAGTGGCTGGAGCATTTCATCATCCGTATGATCAGTCTAATAGAATGTATTTAGTTACTAAATAATAATAATTCTTAATACAATAAGAAATTTCATCATCCAAAACTCTCTTGATCTACCTGCCCCAACACGATTTTCGGAAACCTCGCCGTAAATGCCGCAATGATATCCTTTCCAAGTGGAGCAGCACCACTCACTACAATCTCGACTGAGCTCAAATCATAGCTGTCCGTTAAACCACCCTTTGACAAGGCCACAATCACCGGTGGGGGAAAAACCAAGCGTGTTACCCTAAACTCCTCTACAGCCTTCAACATCTTCTTTAAATCAAACCTCTCCATCACCACCACTGTCTCACTCAACGCCACCGATCTCAGACTGAAAATGAACCCGACCATGTGAAAATACGGCATCGTATACAACGTAACTGTCGGGGACTCTCGCTCTTGCCGAGATGCATAGGAATTCGCAATTTGTGCCATTAAGTTTCTCTGAGTCAACATCACCCCCTTCACATTTCCGGTTGTTCCGGAAGAGTACATGATCGCTGCCAAATCGGATTGTTTCACTTTAACGTGATCGAATTCATGTTTTGAACTCATCATTATTGACTCGAATTCTGAAGAGTCGATGAGGATCGTCTGGTGTTTAAGTTTAGGGAGCTTGTGAAAAGTGGATGCCGTGGCGAATGCAATCACCGGCTTCGATAACTGAACTTGTCGGGAAATCTCTGACTGGGTGCTGAGTGGGTTAGCCGGAGAGATGACTACACCGAGTGAGAGAAGGGAAAAGTAAAGGATTGGTAGTTGGATAGAGTTTGGAGAGAGTATAAAAGCTGTGTCGTTTATGGACAACTGGGTTACTTTCTGCAAATAAGCCGCCAGGCAGTTTGTTCTTCGAGTGAACTCAGAGTATGAAATACGTTGAGCAGTGACAGAGTTGATTAAAGCCACGGAGTCATGAGGCCATGGGGAAGTGGCTAGTAGTGAGAAAGCGTATTCAGCAGCTGACAGCGGAGTGTCTTCTAGAGGAAGATCAATGGGAGGTCTGAGGCTGTGAAAGGTCTTGGTAATGGAGTTGAAACCACTCCTTGTGTCGATTTGCAGGCTTTTCGGGTCCATTGGGAGGTGTCCGGTGAAGGTCTCGGTAACGAAGGAAGAAAGTATGATGATTTGCTGAGAAAATTAGATTTGTGATGAATTTTTGTTTTGTGGGTTGGAGAAACTTGGCGAAGTTGGTGACTAGTGGTGGGCTTCGATTACAAAATGTTGTCGGTGAAACAAGTTTAACTTTCAAAGTTTCAATGAAGAATGCCTCTTTAGTCTTTTCATTCTTGGATCTCTCTTTATCTATACCAACTAATAATAATATGGTATGTGTATATAATCACTTAATCAACTATTATTGATAAGAAATTATAAGTAAAACTTATATTTTTTTTAATTGGATCTTTAAAATAAATTCTTTTAATGAGATTCTATTTAGGTCAAAAGCATAATATAAATCAAAATGATCAAACAACCCAACAAGGCTCAAAAGGCTTATTAATTTATTTTGTTGATATAGATCAACAAAAAGATACTGCAAGCTTAAAAGACATTTTATTATTTAATTCAAGTTAGTATGCTGTGTTTTTATTAAAAGTTTTATAATGTGTGACTTTATTATTCATAATGAGAAGAGTTTGATAGGTATGATATAGTTGTCATAACATAATAGAAAATAGATAGGGTAGCTCTGTTGTAGATTTTGTAAGTGTACGAAATTGTTTAAGCAATAAAGTATATAAATACGGATATCGAAGCCAAGAAAATTATTATTATCAACTACCAATTTAAACTATCCTTACTATTTGATCATCCAAATTGTATCAAAGAAAACCTAAATTAAATAAAATTAACAATTGAAATTAAAAAGAGAACTAAAAAAACAAATCTTTGGGTTAAAACACGATGACTAGATCTAGGGCATAGATTTTACACCAACTCCTATTCATATGTATTGATCATTATGCTAATTTATTAAGCTCTTCTTAAAGGTCAAACTCCTAAATTTCCAATAAATTTTTCTCGAACAATTATCGAATTAACTTCTAATTACTAACACGAATTATCTCAATAAGATTTAAGCAATTGAAGATCATTACGTTCTATGGAGTTTACCAGAACCTCATAAGTTGCATTAAACTATCTCTAGCGTTCGCTCATCTATGGTTTTACTACTGTAGACCAACAAGTATCATCTCTCGATCTCAACTAGTCTATTAAGATCAAAATTCATTTGTGGGCCCTTAAGAATCAAAAGCATAGGTATATAGTAAAACTTAAGAAATTTTTTTAATAAAAATTAACAGCATAAATCAACACATAATCAAGAGATTGGGCTACATTTTAGCCACAAAATCAATTTAGTTTATAATCAATATGAAAAAAACAATCATCTTGTTGAAATAAGAAACATGAGTTCAAGAAAGAAATAAGAAGACTCTCTATATGTTCAATCAAAAGTTCAAAAATTTTGTCACTTTGATCTCTCTTGCATTAGCTCCTTTAATTCTTCTCCCCAAAGAATCCCCAAAAAATGCTAAAAGACTTCTATTTAATTCCACAAGGGTTAGGGTTTTATTTCCTTAATTTTATTTAGTTAAGACTCTTAACCCTATTTTCTAATAAAAAAATAGGAAGAAAAATTTATAGCTATCGTGACTGTGCCCCGGCACTGTGCTGGGGCGCGGTCGATTCTAGACAAAGTGTGCTACGGCACAGTGATAACTGCTCCTTCTTTAGTTCAAATCTCGTCTCATTCTTCAGCACTCTAGGATGATGATGTTTGAGCTGATAACGATGGAATCTGGAGAAGTGAAATGTAGCCCTTTAAATTAGTTTTCCAACAGTCAAAGAATTGTCTTGGTCTGAGGTATAAGCTTGAGTATTATTGAAATATTGAGGCATGCTAAAACTGGAGCGTAATCTAGAATGTCCTCTTTACTTCAAAGCTCCAACTTTCGATTCAACTCCCATTCTCGATCCGTTTGTTTCTACTCATCGCTCATTCTGTAGCCGATATGATTCTTATACGAGCATAACATTTAGCACTAATAACTTGAAAAAACACACAAAACACACCGTGATCTATAAAAGACAATTATTGAAAAATTAAGTAACTTTACCAATTAAGCCTAATTTATCACAAATAATCCTCATAAACCACTAACTAAATGCGTATTTTCAAGCTCTTATCAAGCTCAATTTAGAATTAATTGGTAATTTGGCATGCATGATGATAGAGAATATATGCTATAATGAAAGACCAGCAATGCATGAAGAGTGGTGGAAATGGAGAAGAAAGCATGAAAGGATGGATTAAAAAAAATGGTTTTCATGCAAAGCTTGAAAAGAGATTATACCTACTCCTTTGCTTTGGATTGATGAAGATTAGCCTCAAAAGGATGAAACCTCCATACTTTAACACCACCTTGAGAGATTAGAGGTGGTCATGGGTTTGAGAGAGAGTTTTAGTTTGTTTTTGAGTGAACAAGTGAAGAATGAACTAAAATGCAACTTTTGCGTTATATATACTTGGACAATTTTGCAATTATTTATTTTTCACTTCCAAGCCCAATAAAATCTTTTTTAGAAGAGACCCCACAAATTTAAGCTACCCTTTGAATAATCAATATTATTCAAGGGCCCATGTAAACTAAACTAGTTTACATTAACAATCCATAAATTTACCTTTTACCCTTAACTATTAAAAGGATATTTTTGTTCATCTCATTAATTAACACTTTAAGATATAATAATTAATTATTGTTTGACCATTTAAACCTTAAAATGTCACAAATAATTTTCTATGTAACTATTACTATGGAAATCCGTTATTACCCTCGGAAGGTGCTAGCCCTCTTTGGATAATCATTCTCTCTCTCATCTTCTCTAACTCTCAAGGCTATTGTGTGACGGAGGTCCACCGTGGGTTAGCGTAAGCAGGTTTTGGATGAATCCAGAAACCTGTCCGGAGGCCGAACGACTATGGTAAACATCTAGTAATGTGCCATAGTCCCTAAACCACGATGAAGAAATACTTCATCGAACCCATTTAAGATCATACATCCATGCAAGTAAAGTCCCTCCATTTGAGATATCTGATCGAGCACGGATCATGGAATGTCAAAATCCTAAAATCGATCTTCTATCGAATCGTCGATCAATATGTTCGGAACTCGTCATCACAAACTTGCTTTGTAGACTAATAATAGACTTTGGCCAGAGATTCTGATTTCCGACATTTATCGACGTCATTAGGAACTCGAATCCGGATAGAGTTAGCGGTACTCCGCTCCTATATTTTCGAGTCAAGGATCCCCTCTTGACCATCGTTCATTTCCACATATGAATAAAGCATGACCATATAGGCTGTATTATACGAAACATGATTAGTCTCGTACTATACACCATATGAACCATACGCATCCGTATCGGATCCAACTACAATGTCTCAGGTCAAAGGACTACTCGTGCACTGATATAACCAAACGATAAATCATTGACTACATGCTTTTCTAAGTGATTTGTCGTTATTCGGTCACGTTCGAAAACAGTTCACACAACTGCTAATCCATACCAATGACCCCGTGACATGACTATTATCGTCATCCGTACTTATATCAACTCGATCTTTCGGAGCAAGTCATATGCTCACTGTGCAATGTAGTTGCCACAAATTATATTGCTTCCGTAGGGAACCCTTTCGATAATTCATTTACCGATTAAATGAATCATCTGGACAATTCATATACATACTTTATTTTAAATGCATGACTAAATAAAGGAAGCAATTTATATAATGAATTGAAGAACTTTTCTTCTATTATTTAGATATATAGATACAGACAAAATGCTCTGAAACCGACAACACGAATGGTTTCTAGGGCCTACACTAATATACACTAACAAACTCCCACTTGACATAAAGCCATTCATTGTTGTATCTCACCCATTTCTCAAGATGATGGTCCAATTTTCAGTGTCATCGCCTTAGTCAGTGGATCAACTACATTTTCTGCTGAAGGAGTCTTGAATTTAATCTCTCTAGCTCCAACGAATCTCAAAAATGTGATATTTATGCTGAATGTGTTTGAATTTTGGTGGGCTCTTGATTCTTTGCCTGTGCAATAGCTCCAGTATTGTCACAGAACATGCATATAGGCAAGCCATGTTTGGAACACACCAAGTTCAATTACGAGCTTTCGCATCCAAACATCCTCCTTTGCTGCTTCTAAAGCAACAATGTATTCAGCTTCTGTAGTGGAGTCAGCTGTGGTTGTCTGTTTGGAACTTTTCTAACTAACAGCACCTCCATTACATATAAAAATGTACCCTGACATAGACTTTCTATCATCATATCTGATTGGAAATCAGAATCTGAGTATCCTTGAATGTTAACTCTGAACATCCATAACTCAGAACTAGATCTTTAGTTCTTCTCAAGTACTTAGGATCGATTTTACAACTGACCAATGTTTCTCCCTGGGTTTGACTGATATTTGCCGTAACACTACAGCATAAGCTATATGGTCTTGTACATAGCATTGCGTACATTAAGCTACCTACGGCAGACGCATAAGGCACATTACGATTCGCTGCTGCTCTCATCGGTCTTTGGACCCATCTCCTTAGAAAGATGAAGGCGTGAGTGAAGGGCAAGAGACCTCTCTTAGAGTTCTCCATGCTAAATTTTTAGCATTTTCTCTAGGACAATTTCTGGGATAATCCAAGTACCCTTTTCGTTCTATCTCTATAGACACGAATGCCAAGGACATATGTCGCTTCTCTAAGTCTTTCATCGAGAAGGTTTGGACAACCAAACTTTAACCTCTGTCATCATGCCTAACATTTCCCATATAAAAGTATGTCATCTACATATAATATGAGAAACGTGATGGCATGATCTTTAACCCATTTGTATACACAGGGCTCATCGGATTCTTAACAAAACCAAATGATTGATATATTGTCAAATCGAATGTTCTAGCTTCTTGAAGCTGCTCAATCCAAAATGGATCGTGCAATTTGCACCTTATGTTTTCAGCAGAGGATACAAAACCTATCGATTGTTCCATATAGATGTTTTCCTCAATAAACCCAATGAGGAAACCTGTTTTTCCACATCTGCCAAATTCATAATCATGGTATGCTGCAGAGCTAGCATTATACGGAAGATTTAATCATAGCTACAGGCGAGAAGGTTTCCTCATAATCCAATCCTTGTTTCTGAGTATACCTTTCGCCACCAG